TTTTGGAGCCACCCCGAGAGGTTTCTGCTGCCCCAAGTCCCTGAAGAAGTTGCTCCATGAGACGGGTGACGTGGGAACGAAAGAAGAGACTAAACCAGAGAGAAGAGACTAAAGTGCAATTAAAGAGCCACATGAAGGGCATCTCCCCTGCCCGCATCTGAAAGAGCTGCACTGAAGCACAGGCAGAGGGTGAATAGAATAAAATACAGAGAATCGAGTAAAATGGAATAAAAAACTGCACCGGGGTGTCCCCAGCACCCAGTGTCACTGAAGATTTGCATCGCAGGATGGGCACTGTTGGGTGTGACCAGAAAGGCAGCGCCGAGGCTGTGGGAGGTGTTGTGAGAAACGATTGCTCACTTAAAATTTTTAAAGGTTTATTAAACCTTAACAAATAATACAACCAAAAGACTAAATAAGAAAAAAATTACAGCACTGGGACTACAGTGCTGTGTGGGAGTGCCCCCCCCCCCCCCCCCCCCCGCTCTTCTACAACATGGATACCTTTTATATCCTTATATCTTTTATATGCTCTGCCTTTTATATCCTTAGCCCCTCCCAAAGTTTTGTCAGTCAACTCCTTCTCTGCCGTCCATTGTTGGAGATTTCCTTCTTACATCTAGACTGGAGATCAGGTGTTGTTACGCTGCGCCTCTTGGTAATAGCCAGCCTTCTCTAAATGCCCTGACTACTGAGGCTATTGCAAGGGGGAAGGGAAAGAGGACTATGGAGACATACTACCATAACATAACTATACATCCACATAATATCTATCTCTTAATTTCCATATAATATCTATCTCTTAATTGTTTAGAGCCAACTATTATATTGCTCATCTGTAACAGTGTGAATAGAATTAAACATAGAGAACAGCATATAATACAAGAAAAAAGCCGCACTGTGTGTTCCCCACCACCTGTGTCACAGAAGAGTTGCACCAAGAGCAGCGAGAAGCAGGAGCAGTAGAGAATAGAATAAAAAATAACAAAAAATCCATGCCAGCGTGGCCACTGCCCAACACTAAAAGAGCGACACTGAGGGCTCATCAGGGCAGCACTGAGGGTCTTGGCTGCTTCGTGTCACTGGAAGAGCTGAAGCCAGGGGGAGCTGGGCCTTCTGGAGCTGTCCCAAGGGCTCTCGGCCGCCCTGTGTCACTGAAGGAGGTGCAGCAAAGGACGGGCGGGGCACGGCCCAGATTGAGCCCCTCAAGCCGCGTGATGAGCGGTGACTCCGCGGGACCATGCTGGGGCTGAACGGTGGCAATAGCCAGAGAAGGGGAAGTGGCTTAGAGTGGTAGAGATGAACTGTGTGTTCCCAACCAGCTCCGCTCAGCCCTTGGGCACCAGGGGTTGTTCCCAACCAGCTCCACTCAGCCCTCAGGCACTGTGCTGGGGTGGCTGCAAAGTTTTCAAACTCTGCTGCCCCCGTGGGCCAGGCCCTGCAGGACCTGCTGCTGCCACCTTGGGCCCAGGAGCCCAGAAACCCCAGAAAATTGATCCCAGGCACTAAAAAGCCTTCTTGTGCTCAGAGAGGGCTGCAGGGCGGCAGTTCTTTACAAACTCACCTCAGTGCCTCCTGAGCACAGCCGGGAATTAGTGCAGCTCCCAGGGTTGTCTCGGCTCCAGCTGCTGCCACAGGGCACGGACTTGCTGCACTTGGGTACTAAACATGACCAATTTGGGGAGGGGGACAGCCCTAGAAACCAGGATTTTGCCCTCAAGAGCTTGGAGCTGCATGAGGCGGATAAAGGATCCCCTGCACACACTGATGCTCCCAGCAGCGGCTCTGCTCCCCCAAGAATGGGGCTGTGTTTGGGAGAGGGAGGATGGCCAAGATGTGGTCTGGAATGAGACAGCCGCATACTGGGATGAAGCGCTCGGGGCAATATGGTTACTGAGATTTTGGGGCACCTTCCTGAGAGATGAGTTACTGGAAAGGAGGAGACACCGGGCTCTGATGTTGGAGTGGGGCCCCACAGGGAAGGATGTCGGGAGCCTGTATTAGGGAAGATCCTGCTGCTTTCCACCAGTTTTGGTAGGTCATAAATGGCTCTGGAGAATTTCTCCCTCAGTTTATGGGCAGAAATTACCCCTTTTTTTGGGAGAATCCTGATGCTTTCTGCCAATTTTGGGGCTTCTAAATGGCTTGTGGTAGACCCACTTTTGTCTTCAAAATCTTGGTCTTTGCCCCAGTTCATCACCATTTGGCTGCGAAAGACACTCTTGGGCATTAGGAAATCAAAATTGTGGAATCACTGAGGTTGGAAAAGACCTCCTGTTACAGTGATTGACAGGGGCCTCACCCAATCACGTATCTTCCAAGGCTGCAGGCATCTCACTGGCCAGGACCCGAAGGGGCGTGGAGTTCAAATCAATGAGTCTTTCAAATGCTCTTTATAAGGGAGGGCTTGGGAATAAACAAGCTCTGTTGCTCATGAACCTGGGGGTGAGTGGTCTTTTTCTCCTGCACCGCTCCACCCCACAACGTGACCTAACATGTGGTGACCCCGACATGATGAGGACTCAGCAGCCATAGCCTGGCACAGAGCAAAGGCTTAAGAGCCGGTACAGTGTTTAGAACCAGGATTATTACAGCGTCAGAGCTGGACATTAGTGCTGGAATCAGAATACAATAGGGTGTAGATCAGTCTAGAACCAGAATTAATGATAGAGAGCTGGATCAGTGTAGAACCAACGGGAACAAATAGCTTAGAGCTCGATCAGTGTGGAACTGGAATAAACAGTGTAGAGCTGGATCAGTGTGGAACCAGAATAAATACAGCGTGAAAGCTGGGTTGTTGGCAAGAGAGCTGTCACAGTAACTGGGACTTCGCTGGGCAGACAGCAAAAAGTGCTATGTGGCTTCAAATTCTGTTTTTGTGGACTAGAATCATTACTGAGACCATGGGAGCCTGGACTTCAACACCAGAATATCCCATCCTGAAGGCATGGATGTTCTTTTTGTTAAAAAGAAGGATTTATTACCAGGAATGGGCTCTGCAAGCCCTTTTCACGTGGTGTGAGAGACATGAACTAAATGTGTCCAAAGAGACCACTTTAAAATTACCCTTTTGGGAGGGGGTTGGACAATATATATTTGCGGCAGCCTCTAATGGTGAGAACACAGCCATCAGTGCTATAAAGCCTTGGACAATTGTTATGGACTAGTTAAAACAGTTGGAATATGACAGGCAAAGGGGGAAGGGCAGCAGTTTCTTTGTGCAACCCCGCGCAGGAGCTGGCACTGCCCATGGAGCTGGCGGGCCCTGGCCACTGCAAGAACTGCTGCAGAGTGACGGTGGGGAGTGGCACAGCCCTGAGGAGTGGGGGAATCCCAGCAAACAGAGACAATCCGAGGGCTGCCCGTGCCGTGAATGCCAATACTGCCCAGGGAGCTGGCAGGACACACTGCACAATTCAGCCACGTGGAGAGATGGTGGCCTGGCCCTGGCAGCTCCGAAATGCCCCATGTCCACTCTGGACTGCTGTAATCACTATGCAGCCACCTTGGGCCACTATATCGCTGACCCAGGCAGATGCGCTGCTGCTTGGGATAAAGGCGAATTCCGCAGCTATTACACCGTGCCATGTGGCTGCTGAGACCACCACCCCACCATCTGCAACGGGACTGCCAGCACCTCCCATCACCGTGGAAATGTCAAGACTGTCCCCTACAGAGACCGAGCGGGCTCGCTCCAGAGCCGTGCCTCCATGGAGCCTGGCCATGCCTGCATCAGAGGATGAGCCTACACCCCCAATCCCGCCTGCAACAGGGGCAGGGCCCTGCACCCAAGGCAGCCTCCGTGGAACACAGACGTGCCTCCAGTGGGAATGGCCCTGCCTCCAACCCTGCCTCCAGGGCAGGGCTGGGAATGGCACCACCAGGAGCTCCTGCAAACCTCACTCCCAGAAGGAGAGCATGGGAAAAGCCACCTGAGAGGATCCGGCCTGGCTAAAAAAGGTGGAAAGAAGCATGCAAAGGTTTGGTGCTGTGAAAGCAGAAACACTGGAGTCTGCCTGAAGAGATGGGGCCGGATGCATGAGATAACTGTTTCACAGCAGCTGAAATCAACACACCCTCTCACCTAGTCCAGTGAGAAGCCAGCTTTTCCCTGCAAATGGATGATGAGAAGGCAAACAAACAAACACCAAGTTTCCACCTCTCAAGAGCCTCACAACCACCTTACCTCCTGATATATATCAAGGTTTTCATATTCTAAAGACCCTAATAAACTAATAACATATGCCAAGAGTAAAAATATTGAAGGGTTATCACACAAGAGTTACAAAAATGTACAACTGTTTGTAAAATCTGCCTTAGAGTTCATAGTACAATACTTATAATTATTGTTTGCATCTGCTAAAACCAAAATGGATTAACCTGTGATGGCTAGTTCTGCTAAAGTTATTTGGAAAATATTACAGTTCTGTCTTAGGCAGGTACTACTGTGTCCTAAAGAAACTCGAGTATGTGTGTTAACATGTCTTTTCTTAGTACTCCTAGTAACTATTCTTGCATTGCTTCAAGATGTATGGGTAAGATTCAAAGAATAGAACATCAATTTATCATAAGCAAATTTCATTTGCAAAGTTTTTGAACTGAAATTCTGACACTTGTCATCATTTTAAACGTTAAAAGTAATCTATTAAAGTCAATAAAAAAATTTCTAACTTCTAACAAAGGGGGAAAAGTATATTGCTTGCACTGTTATTCATGCTAAAAATTCTTCTTGCACTAGATATTAATAAAAGCTTGTTTTTAAATATATATATACAGAAAACATCTCCCAACCAAGGTTATTGTGCTGATCAAGCCATGTACCTGGCTGGTAAAGAAAAATATATTATTAAACCTAGATGAAACTTTGCAGAAGTTAAACCTTTCTTCCATTGAGATAAATGAGAAAGCCTCATCTGGAAGAGGTTTTTTCAAGCCCTGATAGTGAAAAAGAGACCCCCCTCAGTAACTCCCTAAGTAATAGTATTCAAATTCCATGTTGTGTTCCTATTTTTATTTATTATACAAAGAAAAAAGGGGAAAAAAGTTGGGGGGAAAGTACACCCCCACAATGAATTTTAAGTAGTATCATGTTCTCTCATGTTTTACAATAAATAATACAACAGTACAATAACCCTATGATATTCAACTGCCTAAAATATATTTCAATGGACACTGAAAATCACAGATGGTATCCCTATGTCCCCTCAGCAAAATAGTACATCACAAATGATCACCTACCTCATGCACAGTTCATATAAGGACTTGATTTGTTTACAAATTTTTTCTCATGTTTATAAACTGTTTTCCTGTTTAAAAAACTGTTTTCTGTTTTCTGGGAATTGTTTTTTTCTCCAAGGGATAACGGGGTTACAGCTTGTTTTTTAATAGTTGGGTTTTTCTCTAAGGGTTAAATGTGTTAAGGGTTAAATAGCTTTCTGCTTGTAGAGATAAGTTGTAATTTGTAACCAATAAGCATTATGCCTGTGGCCTGAGTTCCCCCAACAGGTTCTGGAAGTGAATGCTGCAGCTCCAGTGTAAATTAGATCCATGCTGTTTTCTGTTGCCCTGTTTGCAAAGGGCACTTGCAGATGGATGACAGAGAGCACTTCACAAAAATTTATAAAGACAAGAAGGGTGAGATGTTACCATGATTGACAAGGGCCTCGCCCAATCACATATCTCCCAAGGCTGCAGGCATCTCACTGGCCAGGACCCATAAGGGTGTGGAGTTCAAACCAATGAGGGCATCCAGACAGGATCTTTCAATGCCCTTTATAAGAGAGGACTTGGGAAAAAATGAGCCCCATTGCAACATGAACATCGGGGTGAGTGGCTTTTGTCTCCAGTGCTGCTCCCCCTCCATATTACCTAACAACCTCCAAGACCATTCAGTATTCCTTGATGCCACCAGAAAATATGACTGAACGCAAAAGATTTTCTGGGATTGAAAGTCGACAAATCCACTGTCCCCAAGAAATTTACATTGTTGGTCTGTGTCCCAATGGATGTTCCTGCCCCTGCATTCATCCAGGTGCCCATGGGAGCCAGGAAGATGTGGAGCCTCCCAGCCAGGTGTCTTCCAAACACAGATCACCAGGACCATGGATCACCATGGTTCTCCCCAACGAGGGTCACTGAGGATCATCCAGTGTGGATCCTCCCATGAGGAATGGAGCTGGAGCTGTGCACGAAGCTCTTTCGGCACTTGGGGCACTCACAGGGCTTCCCTTAGTGGCACCTCCATTGGTGTTGGGTCAAGTTAGAACCGCTGGAGAAACTCTTCCCACACTCCTCACACTCGTAGGGCCTCTCCCCAGTGTGGATGTGCCGGTGCTTGATGAGGATAGAGTTGTGCTTGAAGCCTTTCCTGCAGTCAGGGCATGGAAGGGCCTCTCCTCTGTGTGAATCCACTCATGTACAAGGAGATCAGAGCTCCTTTGAAACCTCTTCCCACACTGGGGACACTCGTAGGCCCTCTCCCCAGTGTGGATGCGCTGGTGCAGGATGAGGTATGAGTTGCACTTGAAGCCCTTCCCGCACTCAGGGCAGCGGAAGGGCCTCTCATCTGTGTGAATCTGCTGATGTACGAGGAGATTGGAGCTGGACTGAAACCTTTTCCCACACTCAGGACACTCGTAGGGCCTCTCCCCAGTGTGGATGCGCCAGTGGTGGCTTCTCAGGGCATAGCTCCACCCAAAGCTCTTCCCACACTCCAAGCATTCATAAGGCTGTTTGCCAGTGTGGATCACCTGGTGCAGGATCAGACCAGAGATCTTCCTGGAGAGAAGATCAGACCAGAGATCTTCCCACATTCCCCACACTCAAAGGGCTTTTCCCCAGTGTGGATTCTCTGGTGTTCCCTCAGGTGGAAGCTCTAGCTTAAGCTCTTCCCACATTCCACACACTCATAGGGCTTTTCCCCAGTGTGGATCCTTTCGTGTTTCCTCAGGTTGGAGCTGTGGCTGAAGCCCTTCCCACATTCCAAGCACTTGTGTGGCTTCTCCCTGCCAAGAGGCTTCTCCACCAGCTCTGAGCTCCGGCTGGATCTCCGGCTGCCTTCCTGGCTCAGGGGGGCTCTTTCCTCCTTGCAGCCCCTCCTTGTGTGGCGTCTCCAGGGATTTTCCTCCTCCTCCATCTGGCCACAGCCTCGGAATGAAAAATCCTGGTTTGGGAAAAAAAAACAAAAATGAGAGCACCTTGAACTGGGGGTTGCTCCTTGCCTGAGTTCATCTCAGGAAGTCATTGGGGATATTGCGTCTGTAAGAACTGCCAAAACACCAAGATTCAGCACAAAAATCCTGCAAGCATCATAGCACAGATCAATAGCTGCCAAACATCAAGATTCAGCCAGAAGCCCCTCCAAAATATAAAGATTCAGCCTCTGCAAAACATCAAAGTACCAATATTTAGCCCAATAAATCTCAGAAACACCAAGATTCACCACCATGAAAATCGTAGATCCCCCTTCCCCAGGGAGCTGCCCGTGGGGGTGCAATGCTCCTGGGGCTGGGGAGGAGGCTGCAGATACAGGGAGAGGTGGAACCCTGTGATGCCTCCTGTTCCTGCTCCTCCTCCTCCTTCTGTGTCCCTGCTCTTCCTCACACTCCTCTTCCTTCTGCTATTCCTCCTTCTCCTGCACAATCCCACCCTCTCCTCCCACGTGCAGCGTTTCACCATTTTGTTCTTCAACCCTGCTTCTCCTTCCCTTCTCCTCCTGCCCCAGGCCCAGCACCCGCTGCCGGCTCCCTCTTGCCCCCAAACCCACAGCATCCCACGGCAGGGGCAGGGATGGAGCTGGGGCAGGTCGGGCTGGGGCAGCGCTGGGCTCCCGGCCGCTCCCGCCCGCATTCGGTCCCCACTGCAGCCGCTCCTGCCAGGACAGAGCGGGGGGGCCCGGCCTTGGCGCTGCCCCACTCCCACCTCCCCAAATTCCGCTCGAGGGGGGCGCTAGGGCCGAGGGGGGCGCTAGGCGCAGGTGGGGAACGCTGGGAGCTGCGGGTCTGCCTGGCAACTGCTGAGTCATCAGTGCTGCCCGCTCTGATTGGCTGAGCGCTGCCTGAGGGCTGGGGCTGCAGCAAGGGGGGACACCCTGCTCCAGGGGGGATATCCCACAAACGCGGGATCCCCATGAAAGGAAGAAGAGGAAAGTGCCTTTACAAACAGATGCTGTGAATCTGCTCAGAGATAGAGCCAGCGACTTGTAGATAAGGAAGTGACAGGAGAAGCCATCAGTTTCAGAAAATGTTATTAATTGATGACACAGACTGCTGCTCAGCCAAGGTCCTGCTAAATTCATGAACTTCGAGAAGAACAACAAAGACTTCTGTGAGAGTCTGTCAGAAATATCCTTCATCTGCCTCACGATTGCCATGGAGAGAGAACACCACAAAATTAAAACCCCTCTTTGCTGAACCAGTGTGGGGGGAATGTGATGTGCCTGAGGCCTGAAAGTATTGCTAGCTTACTTTTTTCCACAGGTGTTGTTTGCTATATGCTACACTGAGCTCGCAGGGCACCCTGCCCTTTTTGCACAATAGCTCTGGAATCCTCCCCACCTCTCGGCCTGGCTGGTTTGAGCTTCGGGGTGGTCCCTCCTCCAAGAGAAGACCCCTCTCGCCCATCCTTAACCATCCTGACAGACAAGTAGAGATGTAAGAAGCCTCTTCATCAAGGGACTGAGACATGAAATCCTTATGTGAGAAGGCCCCCTCTCACCTTCTTCCAGAGACTGGGACTGAAACCCCCAATTCGGGGGAGATGTGCAGTGGGGGTGGGGGAAGGAAAGCTGCCCAAAGCAAGATGGATGTTGCAGGTGTAGGCAGTGGACCACAAAAACAATGGCTCTCACCTACTGCCTAGCTTGGACTTTGTGTACACCCCTTTTAAGTGCTATGCTTCCCCACTGAAGACCTTTGTTTTGGTTACGGAATTTATTCCCCCTTCCCCCAATGAAAAAGAGTATAATTGGGGTCCAGATGAACTGTGCCTCCGAGATCTCCCTGGACGTGACATGGCAGACTCCATCGGCTGGACCCTGAAGGACAACGCAGTACCACATTTGGTAGCTATAACCCACTCCTCTTCTTCCTCCCTCTTTTCCCTTATTTTCTCCTTTTTTCCCAGGTTCCCTCCCCAACGCATTTCTGCTGTGGTTATTTCAATAAAGTTGCACTTGTTGATTATTACTGCAAATCCCCTGTGCCATGTCGGATTTTGCACCCTGAGATCACCCTAAGAACCATCAAGAAACCCGTTTGTAAGGACGGATCGTGACAACTTCACAGAGACATGAATATCATTTGCTATACAAAACTGGGGAGCATATAAAGCGGGAGTATATAGTAGGTGGATTGGGAAAAACTGTAGCTCTTAAGTACTTCAGCCAGTGGGGAAAGGGAGAGGGAGATGTGGTCAGGAAAATAAGGATGAAAAGGAAGCTGTATCCTCCAAAAAATGGAGAGACCCTGTGGGAAATGTCCCATGGCTCTCCCTATTTTGAGGAATGAAATTACTTTTACAGGACTCCTCTGTCTGCTTTGGGGACAGAAACCTTTGATGATGTCAAATTTTCCACACACCTTGGGACTCGTCTGGAATTCTATCCACCGTCTGGGGCAGCGGGCAGTGAGTGCAGCTGAAGGTGCCTCACCCAGTTTGGGTGATCGGCCCCCTTGGGGGTGGCAGCACCGGGGACTGATTGGGTACCTGAGAGTGACCAGGAGACAGACGAGTGACACATCAGGGGGGGCTGTGAAGAGTCAGCAGGGAGAGAGCACTGAAAATCTCATCAGTGAGTGCACTGGGATCTTTGGGGAGTGAACATGGCAGGGCACCCATGGAGGGTAGAAAAGGGAAAGCCAGGAAGGGGTCCTGTGCCAAAGGGATGATGATCCCAAAATATCTCTGAAGGGTCCCTTGGGAGAAGGTTGAGGTAGTTTGCACATTCCCCCAGAGGTAATTAAGGACATGGACACCCAGGGGGGCAATAAGGGAAAGTTGAGAAATGATATGGACAACAGGGGATGGATGGTGTTGGTGTGCTGGGAAGGGATTGGGTGAAGGGGAGTGTGCAGGAATAGGGTTAAGGAAGGAAGCAGCAGGAGGAATCTATGTGGTAAGAAAAAAGATGATGGAAAAGGGGAGGAAGAGAAAAATACTGAGGATAGGGATGTTTTTCAGCAGGGTCTTAGCCTCAAAACTACTGATTCAGATCATTTGTATCCCCGGTTTCCAGGAGAGGAAAACAAGGAGGTCAGGGTTTCAGGGGGTTTCTCTGTGGGGGGCAGCGGCAGGACCGGGCGCAGAGGTGCGGGACCGGGAGCACGGGCTGGGGGCCTGGGGGGAGCTGCGGGGCCGGGCCGGGGCTGTGGGGCAGCCGGGGCTCAGCGCCGGGCGCTGCCTGACCCCACCAGCCCCGGGCAGGGCCGGCAGTGGCCCCCGGCCCCCAGGAGGCTGCGGGACGCCCCGGCCGCTGCCCGGCCCCGTGGAGCTGCCGGCCCTGCCCGCCGGGGGGGCGCCTTTGGACACTGCGGCAGGACAGGGACCGGCTCTGGGATACGGGCTGGGGAGGGCACCCTGAGCACAGGGACGAGGAGCAAGGAACACCTGGGAAATGTGGATTATACATGGAAGGACTGAGATTTTCTTTTAAAGGTTTTGTTGGGATCACTGGAGAAGCGAATGATTTTGCAGAAAGCTCAGCAGCTCTCAAAGGATGAGCACCCACAGGCACCGAGGGGGGCTGCAGGAGGGGCAGAAGAAGGCCCTGCAGCACTTGGGCACAAAGGCCCAGCAGGTGAATGCAAGAAGGGAGCAGCAAAAGGCCAAGCTGAAGGCAAAGGCCAGGGCAGAGTTCCTACAGCCCCTGAGGGATCAACCCCAGGGCCCAAGGGGGCCCCAGCACCCAGGGCACGGGCTCGGCCACAAGCACCCGGCAGAGGCATTGCCCTCCTCACCAGGGGACAGCCCACCCAAACAGCCCCTGGCAAGGAATCAGGGCTCCAGCTGCAGGGCACAAGGACACTGCAAGCACAGACAGCAGCACCCTCAGGACCAGCAAGTCCACCCCATGATGGACATGGATTGGCAGGGCTGTCACAGCTCCCATCACACCAGGGACCCTCCACACTGGAGCCCTTGAGAACATTCAGGTGGGTCTGCATTGAGAGGAGGCCTCCCCTGATGGACACAGGGGCCTCTCAATCCACTCTGAATCTCAGATACAAGGGGGGAAAATTGCCAAAACTGTCTAATTTTTCAGGGGATAAGTCGGCAAGAAGAGTGGTTTTATTAAATCACTATTAGAAGATGTGGAAGATGGGTTTGAAATGCATGAATTTTTATTTACTCCTAATTGTGATTATAATTTACAGGGAAGGGATTTCATTGCTAAATTGGGAATGGAAATTAATTTTATAAAAGGTGATACATAGGCTAGTTCTGTTGTACCACTGTGTCAGACGTCTGGCAAGGCCTGTGCTGAAGTGAACCCAGAAGTGTGGGCAGCCCCAGGGAAATAGGGAAGATCAGATTTGGAGCCTCTCCAAAGTACTCTGAAGCAACCAGGACAAGTGGTGTCTAAAAGCAACAGCCTGTTCCAGGGGAGGGAAGGAAGGGGAATCAGACAAAGCGCAGGTCACCGCCCCATGCTCAGCTCAACCCGCGGAGCTGTGGGTGCTTGTAAGAGCCTGGCACTGAAATGCCCTGAGCAGGAAGGCTTCAATATCTTCTGCTGACACCATGGCACCTAACAGGGGGGCAAAAGCAAATCTGACTGGTTCAGCAATGTAATATATGTTATGAAATAATTCGTGCTTAAAGAGAGAATGTATTTTATAAGATTGTGAAATCCAAACAAGTCTCTGACCACAAGAAGCCCAGGGACAGATGTCTACTTCGGAATCTTGAAATTCCTGAAGGCAGCAGAACAATACCCCTGTTTACCCATAATTCGACGAGGCCAGTAGGATCCATCTTCCTCCAAAATAATCAGGAAACACCCAAGGGTGATCATCACTCAGTTGATACCATCTATTAAGATAACAGATGTTGCCAGAAAGATACATCTGAATATGTGACTTCCCCTGACATGATCAGCCAATCAGCGCCTGCCACTA